CGCCGTCGTCTTCTGCTGGAACCGACCTTCGAATCTCTTCACCCAACACTTCTACTCGAAATGGAAGTAACCCCAACAACAATCCATCAATGTTGTTCGTCCACTCGGCCCGCAATTGAACCGACTGAGGCAGACTCCTTTCGATAAAACGTGTCAACACACAAACCCTAACACGGTTGACTGGTTGAGTAGTTTCATACACGCCTGTAGATGTCGTGTGCCGTGGAAGCAGTTGTGGATGAGCAGTCGTTTCCCCAACACAATCTCTTGCATTCTCATCCGGCCATGATGAAGATTGAAAGCCAAACTACCATTCCTTCATTTTTTCGTTGGGTCAATTGATAAATCCATTCTGGTAGAATCGCCTTAAAAGTGAAAAGTTGAACGGCACCAAATTACCCAATTTATATTCGTATTTGAGTAGGGTTTCGAGACTACCATGATTTACTGGTAGTCTCGAAACCCTACTCTAATACAAATATAAGTAACGTAGTCGATTGTTACAGCAAACATACGTTTGCTTCATCGACACTCCCACCAAATAGGCCTGACCTTCCTTGAAATTCACTTATGTCCTGTGAATCAAGGATACTTGTGGCAGTGTAGCCGAGTGGTTAGCGTGTCAAGCAACAGTCCTGTACTGTCGTGGTTCGACTCCCGCTGAGGGTGTTGATAAGACCAGATGATGCGAGGTCGAAACTGCAGTCCACTTCTGTTTGGATGAGGACAACTTTTGTGAAAGCAAGGTCATGTGAAATTCAAAGGAAACGTCAGCTCAACTCATATCATTGTGGGATAATTCAACTACCAGTCCTTCAACACCTTACACGAAATAGAGTGAATACATTTCATTACTTAATTTAGGCCATTTTCGTGAATCCACTAACATAAACTGATGCTTACTTGTGTGATTTATCAGTAGTACAGTGCGAGAAAAGTACCTCTACAATATTGTTGATTTTGCCTCCGAAATGAAGTGGCAAAAGAGTTGGCTAGTCGGAATAGTACCGAGAGCCCGAGGCTTCAAGCTTTGCGACGACCCTTTGCTGTCTGCGTAGGCCCTTTTAAGGCAGGATTGGTAAAGAAACAAGGCAAAATGAGGTTAGCACATGAATACTAGAGCGTATGAAAAAAGTGAGTATATAAAGCTTGAGTTAGATTCGAGGATTGACAGAATTCCACTTGCGTCGTTGTCAGTCAGCTGTGCGGTCTGGACACATGTGTGGTAGGGTGTGAATATTGTTGAGGCTATAAAGAGATGGGCCATTCTCGAATGAACCCTCCGGGATTCCAGCGTGATCAGGGAAACTGTGAAAACCTGCAAGTCGACACGAGGTGAAAGGATACTCGGCCGTCTCGGAAAGTGGCACAAAGGAGGAGGGCGAAAGAGACCGAGTGAAACGATTAAGAAAGGGACAGAAAAAGGCTCTGCGGAAGGGCGCCAAGAGATTCGAATAGTTATGCCTTGAATTGGATGGGGAAAATGGCGGCCGGCATGAGAAGTGACAAAAAGAAAACTCGTCATGTAACAGCGACTGGCAGAAAGACTTTGAGAAGATAAAAAAGGGCGGAATTTTAATGAATCCTACCACCAAAAAGGCTTTGAAAGGGAACAATGAGAGTGAATAAAGCCGTACATAGCTCGGCAAAAGCAGAAGCTGTCAAAAAAGAGAAATAGTAACTGTGGCAAAAGGAAGAGAAAGGAGCGGATCCCAAGAAAGGATAGTGGAATTTATTTTGGGCTATTGGGCCTGAAAGTAGGAGATTTAGCAAATGGAAAACGCCAAAAATGGAAATGTCACGGGGTCCAATTTGGCCCCGGATATAATCCCACCGAACTGCTCGTTGGATAAATGAAATTGGGAGGGAGGAAGTGAGACGAGCGTTAGTGGAACTGGTAAAAATGATGGGACATAAAAGTGGTGAGGGTGGTTGCAGACTGGAAGGGTTAAAAAACAAGCGATTATCAGACATATCGGTGATAAGCATAGCTGCAATTCCACGCGAACACTTGCCGATCGCTCACATGGACGGTGTTTCTTGGCAAAAAAGAGGACGGTTCGAAATGAGGCAAATATTTGGTGCAACAGATTGGACGGTCAGGTAGTGGTTGAAGGTTGTCTGTGGGTCGGCAAATGATAGCATGGAGACGTGTCGAAGGGACAAGAGAGGAAAGGGGAAAAATGCCACTTTTAGGCCAAACTGACGGTTGCGATGCTCGAGGTCCGAATGATCAGCAGCCATTCACTTTCCCCGTCGTCACGAAACAGAAGATACGACTGGAGGGCAGCGAAAAGTCTGAGAAAAGTGGCAGTGGACTGAATATGGGGAAAAAGACAGTGTTTTCTCGCGTCTCGCAAATCACGAGCCGAGGCTATTGGTCTCCGACTACACGCTCCGGCCCCTGGGGCTTCGGTTTTCGTGACTTACGCTGAATTACCGGAAAGCAGGACGCACGTGACGAGAAAGGCGCCAAGAACCTTCTCGACGCAAGGGTGCCAAAGGGTATCCTATTTGCGGGAATCCTCTTCTCTGAAAAGAAAGATTGAG